GCGGGGGACGGTGCCGAGGGCCGTGCCGGAGCCCCGGCGGGCAGTCCCCGTTGCGCTCCCCTCACAGACCAGTCACTCCATCACAGGAGTCCATCCAGCTGATGAAGCGTGGCCGCTCCTTGGCCATGCCGCGCTGATGGCTCCTGGCGATGCTCTTGTCACTGAAGTGCCTGGGAATGGTTTCCAGGGTTAGCTGCCCCGTCCCAGGGGTCAGGGTGAAGCTGGCTGGCCTGTAGTTCCGTGCATCCTCCTTGGAGGTGACGTTTGCTTTCCTCCAGTCCTCGGGCACCTCTCCCAGTGACCACGATTGATCAAGGATTGTTGAGGGTGGCCTCACAATGACACCTGCCAGCTCCCTCAGCAATCGTGGATACATCCCATCAGGGCCCTCAGACTGCAGTATGTCCAGTTTGCTTAAGTGTCCCCTGACCTGATCCTCCTCCACCAAGGGTGCATCTTGCTTGGTCCACCCTTTCCCCGTGGTCTCCAGGACCTGGGATTCCTGAGGGCCAGTCTTGCTAGTAAAGACTGAGGCAAAGGAGACATTCAGTAGCTCAGCCTTCTCCAGGTCCTGGGTCACCAGGTCACCTGTCTCATGCAACGATGAGCCCACATTTTCCTCAGTCTTCCTTTGTCGCCCATGTGCTTACAGATGCCATTCTTGTTGTCTTTGACATCCCTGGCTAGATCCAGTTCCAGCTGGGTTTTAGCTTTCCTAACTTCATCCCTGTATGCTTAAGCAACGTTTCTGTATTCCTCCCAGGTTACCCATCCTTGCTTCCACTTTTTGTATCCTTTTGTGTTTGAGTTTGGCCTTTGTATCCCTTGAGTTTGTGCTTTGTACCCCTTTTGTGTTTGAGTTTGAGCAGGAGCTCCTTGTTCATCTACATAGGCCTCCTGGCATTTTTGCCTGATTTCCTATTTGCTGGGATGAACTGCTCTTGAACTTGCAGGAGGTGATCCTTGAATATTAACCAGCTTTCCTGGGCCCGTCTTCCCTCCCGGGCCTCATCCTACAGGACTCTTCCAAGCAGATCTTGGAAGAGGCCAAAGTTCACTCTCCTGAAGTCTAGGGTTGTGAGCCTGCTTTCTACACTCCTCGCTCCCCTCAGGATCCTGACCTCCGCCACCTCATGGTCACTGCGACCAAAGCTGCATTTGAGCTTCACATGCCCAACAAGCCCCTTGTTGGTCTGAGGTCTAGCAAAGCACTGGTCTTCATTGATTCTCGTTGGCTGCTTTGGGGCTTGGAAGAGGAGGTTGTCGGTGCACTCCAGGCACCTCCTGGGTTGCTTATGCCCTGCTATGCTGTCCCTCCAGCAACTATCTGCGTGGTTGAAGTCCCCCGTGAGGACGAGGGCTTGCGAATGTGAGGCTGCTCCTATCTGTCTGCCTCATCCGCTTGTTGTTCCTGGTCAGGAGGCCCATAGCGGACACCCAGTATAATGTCCCCTTTACCTGTCCTCTTTAATACTCACCCACGTTCTCTCATTTGGTTCCTGATCCATCCCCAGGCAGAGCTCCATGCACTCCAGCTGCTATTTCACCAAGGGCAACACCCCCTCCTTGTTTTCCTAGCCTGTCCTTCCTAACGAGCCTGTGTCCCCTCACTGTAACACCCCAGTCATGGGAGCCATCCCACCACGTCGCTGTCATCCCAGCAAGATCGGAGTCCTGCCGCTGCGCACACACTGACTCCTCGTGTTCTCCATACTGCATGCATTAGTACGCCGGCGCTTTAGAGAGGTGGCACCCCAGCATGCTGGTGCCCTGGAAAGGGACTGGGGGATTTCTCCGGCGTGGTGCCGTGTAGGCGTTTCCTTGCTTACACACAGGTGCTGGAGGTGACCCCGCTTAAGCCCCGTTTTGTTGATTTTGTGTTCTGTTCCTGTCGCATCACCCCATGCCCTTTGCCCTCGGACCATGTCCATCGCTCCCTCACGCGGCTGATGATTACCCACTCCGTCCCCCTTCACTCTTGGTTTAAAGCCCTCCTTACTCGGTGAGCCGTCCTACTGGCAAAAATAGCTTTGCCCGGCTTGGTGAGGCGTATCTCATCTCTCTCCAGCAGACGGTGATCTGCAAGCAGGGTCCCATGGTCACACAGCTCAAAAGCTTGTTGGCAACACCAGTTCTGCAACCATTTGTTGACTTGTCCTAGTAGTGCCCTGCTCCTCGTTCTCCCTCGCTGGCAGCGTCGAGGAAGCATCACGTGGGCTGCCGTGCCTGTGATTCTTGCTATTTATCTGCTACTGCTCTACTGCTTCATCATCGTGCAGTTCCTTCGAGCCACCCAAAGTGAAAGTTGGTGTGAATCATCTTTACTCGAGGCATTGGCTGTGAGTAAGCTGAACAGTGTAAATGTCACCTTTGAGTTGTGCATCTGCATGAAGAAAGCTTCTTGCACACAAAGCCCTTCACTGATGCGTGCTTGGCAAATCCTGTGTGCGCAGGTGGGAAAGGATTCACGGTGGCATGTTAAATGTTGATGCTGTGGGAGCTTTGTGAATAAACAACTATCAGAAATAACATGTCATGTGGTATTTAATGTCAATTAATTTAGTGCACTTATTTTTCTTGTGAATGGAGTGTTACTATTACTAATGTTAGTTTTAAGCCTCCTTCCATGTATGACTGAAAAAATAGCTTTACAATAGAAGATAGACATAGTGAGATGCTAGTTATATATACGAGTTATATACTCCTTAAATTGTACAAGTTAATCACTGTTGTTGGACTGTGTAAACAATACTGCTTTGAGCAGTTTTATTTCCTTATTAAAGTAATGGAAACATGAGTTAAAGTAATTGTTGCTGCCTAAACTTTCATATTCTGCATTTACAACCTAAATTTGCTAACAGAACATTGATAGCAGCCGTTCTGTCACTTGCATTTGCACTTCATTATGTAAGGTTCTTGAGAATAGATAATGTGAGGTGCAATAGTAGCAAGTTACTAGAACAGCAAGGTGGCATCGCTTTTCTAAACTCTGACACCCGATAAAAATAACACTTATTTGAACACAAATTTTTCAGCAGTAATTCATGTAAATGTTTACTCTTGCAATGACCCACCCAAACATCCCCCTCGTATTTAAACAACATAGTTAAGGAAAAGAAATAGGAAGGGAATTGCCACGTGATCGTTTAGGGCTACGAGGATGATGAGGGGACTGGAACATCTCTCTTACGAGGAAAGGCTGAGGGAGCTGGGCTTGTTCAGCCTGAAGAAGAGAAGGCTGAGAGGGGACCTAATAAATGCTTACAAATATCTGAAGGGTGGGTGTCAGGAGGATGGGGCCAAGCTCTTTTCAGTGGTGCCCAGTGACAGGACAAGGGGCAATGGGCACAAACTGAGGCACAGGAAGTTCC